GTTTCTGCGTGCATGAGCACAACCGGCAATTCTACTGTGGGAATCTTTATGCGCATTCCCGATCGCGGTTCTTCTTGCCGGAAATCCCTTGCAGTGCTGATCTGATCAAAGATATTGATCCGTTCAGACACTCTACTAGCAATGTAGGTTTATTGTGCATGAGCGTGCTCCTGGCAATCAAGGGGTTAAATGTGATGGTGTACTGACGGGCAATCTGACGCTATCTTGGAGGGGCTTGAAAACCACGGGAGCGCGAATCACGTGGGTGTGTGTGTATATATATATATATATATATATATATATATATGTGTGTATGTATATATATATATATATATATGTGATTTTTTGAGCACCCGTGCCACCCTGTAGCAGTATTTCTGCTGTAGGGTGGTCAGAAAGAGGTTACAGAAGTGGTTTGTGTTACGTCGCTGCGTTACTGTAATTGACAATTGCGCGGGTCATGCAACACTGCACCCAAATTAAATTTACATCCTTTTTTCCCACAAATTGAGCTTTCTTTCGGTGGTATTTGATCACCTGTGCGTTTTTTTTTTTTTGCGCTATAAAAAAAAAAAAGGCTGACAATTTTGAGAAAAAAAAAACAATATTTTGGACTTTTTGTTATAAAACATGTCCAGTAAAAAAATTTAAAAATCAAATTTCGTCATAAATTTCTGCCAAAATGTATTCTGGGACATGTCTTTGCTAAAAAAAAAAATCCCAATATGTGTAAATTAATTGGTTTACATGGAAGTTATAGCGTCTACAAATGGCGGGAAAGATATTGGGATTTTTTTTAAAATATACTAATAATGGCGGTGATCAGCGACTTATAGCGGTGATCAGCGATTTATGACAGTGATCAGCGACTTATGGCGGGACTGCGGCGGACATTTTGACACTGGGGGGGAACTGACTTGGGGTCACTGACATCCCCAGTGACACCAATACAGTGATCGGTGCAAAAAAAAAAAAACACTGACACTGTACTAATGGCACTGGGGAGGTAGGGGTTAACTTTTTTTAGGCAATGAAAGGGTTAACTGTGTGAGGGGAGTGTTTTACTAGGGGGCGGGGGTGTGTGTACTTAACAGGTTCATGCTGATCCCAAGAGATAAACTCTTCTCTCAGGATCAGGGTGCTCGGAACTGACAGAGAGCAGAGCTGCAGTGTAAACGCTGCAGCTGTTCTCTGTCACTGTTTGCCAGCAATCGCCGGGAGCCGGAGGGTAATGACCGGCCGGGACTCGATGATTGACACCCGCTGCCGTGATCGGCGGGACGGGTAGGGCGGGCACGCGCCTCGCGCGTGCCCCCTACCTGTTTTGCAGAATGACGTTTAAAAACACTGTGGCTGGTCGGCAACCAGTTAATAACATTATTTATAGAAAACAAAAACATTCTTAACCATTTCAATACCGGGCAATTTTACACCTTCCTACCGAGGCCATTTTTCACGTTTCAGCGCTCTCACACTTTGAATGACAATTGCGCAGTCATAAAACATTGTACCCGAACTAAAATTTTATCATTTTCTTCACACAACTAGAGCTTTCTTTTGGTGGTATTTAATCACCGCCGGGGGTTTTATTTTTTGCTAAATTAACAAAAAAAGACCAAAAATTTTGAAAAAAAAACACGTTTTTCTTTGTTTCTGTTATAAAAGTTTACAAATAAATAATTGCTCTTCATAAATTTAGACCAAGATGTATTCTGCTACATGTCTTTGGTGAAAATAACCCAAATTAGGATGTATTATTTAGTTTGTAGGAAAGTTATAGAGTTCACAAACTATGGTATACTGTAGATCTGAAGATTGATCAATCCTGAAGTACTGACAGCCAATCTAATTTCTTGAGGTCCAAGAAAGTCAGAATAGTACAGATATCCCCAAATGACTCCTTTTTGCAGAGTAGACAGTCCGACGTACTTCATAAGAGGAATGGCGAGTCTTTTGAAGTTGTATTTTTTTGGTCATTTTTCGGAAAATGAAAAAATTAAAAAAATTATTTTCACTATTTTTTGTTTACATACTGTCACCAGAGCAGTACAGCATCATCATATAACTGGCATAGCAGTGAACAGGGACACTGACTGGTGACAGTATGAAAAAAAAAAAATATATATATATTTTTTTTTTTATTATTTTAAATTATATATTATTTTTTTTCATATTTCACTATGACCAAAGTAGTACAATGTTACCATAGTAACATTGTACTACTTTGGGGAAGTGATCAGTATTTTTTATTTTTTTTTTACACAATTTGCTTATAGCAAAGAATTACTTTGCTATAAGCAAGCATTTACCTGAATGACATAGATTCATTCAGGTTTTTTTTTTGTTTTTTTTTTGTGCTTAGCTGTGATTTGGCCACAGCTAATCACATGACATGTGCATGTGACCTGCTGTGACCATTCACAGCTAGGCACTAGTATACAATGGATGGCATGAATGAAGCCATCCATTGTATACAACTGTCATGGTAGGTCACATGGTACCGGCAACGGGGGCCGGTACTCAGATCTGTCATCGGCCATGTCCGAGGTACACGGCCGGTGACAGATCGCGCTGCTGCGCGGCTCTGCAACCGCGCAAACTGCGCATGTGCGGGAGGACGCCAAATGACGTATACCCCGGAAATCTGCAGCACTTTTGCGGCCGCCAAACGGCTATAGGCCGGGCGGCTAATGGTTAATATAGGTATGAATACTACAGCCCCATTCATTTATTTGGGTTTGGTCTCTGTATACTGCCAACATCTGGGTTTTTTACACATTGTCCATATGTAAGCATACAATTTTTAATAAAAAATTTTAAATAGAAAATACTTACCAACAGTTATTGAAACAAACACAAAACTCTGGATAAGTCTTTGTTATATGTGAAACAATTATTGGCATCTTATTAGAAGTAATCTTAAGGAACAACTCTAAACAGATGTCAGCCTACAGTAAAAAATAATGCAAGATTTATCAAATTGTCAATATAGTATAAAGAATTTTCTAAATAAGTTGTTATATTTAAAATACAAACCTTAAAAGGCATAGAAAGAAAGCTTTTGTATGAAAATAATAAAAATATTTAAAAGTTGATCTGAAAAACATAGAGGATGCAAAATATAATTTCCCTAATTGGTGCCACTCTTTAAAAAAAATGTTTAAATATTGTACACAGCTTTACAACAATTTCTTTACATTAAGTCTTTACTACAAATATTGGTGTCAGATTTATTTTTCATTCTTCAGGTTTCTTGTCCTCATAATTGAGCTGAAAATGAAAACTATGTAGAGCCTCTGTGTTTTCCTTTTCTGGTCTCTTGTTTGGAGCAATATTTCAGGGAGTAGCCTCCTTTTTTGTCTTCAAATTTGTTAACATACAATATTTCCAGATGCAACATTCACAATTGTCACCATATTGTCTACAACATGTTCATTGCTTACTAGATTGTACATTTTTCTTAAAACCCATATTTGGTCTTTTGGATGATCAAGGGCTGTTCTTCTTAGTCCAGCAGCAACACTGCTTGCGTATTGCTTATGAACTTTAATCGGCTGACGTCCAACATTATTATTGTGTAAAAAGGACAGCAAGCTTACTCCATGCCTACTAGGTAGATTGCGTCTTCTTACAATTTAGATTTCAATGTATCTTTTTCAGAAATCGAACAGTGATCAATGCCAGGATATATGAATTTGAGTTGCACTTCATATAATGGACAATGAAATAATTTTCTGCTTCTGAATAACAATTTTTGGTTGACATTCCCAGAGTAACCTGTGATGAACATCTTCACAGGTCCCTTATACTTTACGTTTCTTTGGAGAAAAGAAACGTAAAGTATATGGGGCCTGTGAAGATTTTCATCACAGTTTACTCCAGGAACGTCAACCAAAAATTGTTAATTCAGAAGCAGAAAATTACACTGTACATTTTTAAGTAGTAGAATAGAAAATATTATATTTTGTTTGTTAAAATTTTTATCTAGAATTCAATATTGCAATATTCAATAAAAGCAGTATTGCTTTTTCAGTGTCTGAAGGTTCTGTCATGGAAATCATGATAATAAAGACATCTCTGGGACTCATGATTGTCAGCTATGCATGGAGACAACAATAGAGTATCAAAATCCGTACCCATTATTGTAATTATGATTGAAATAGGTTTCCTTTGATTTCCTGTAGAAGTGATCCAGTGTCTATACAGCAGCCCAATCACTCCTAAAGAGCACAGATACCCCCCCCTTCTGCTGCCTGCTGCTGTTCCCAAGCTCTCTGATGTGATTGGGGAGGCCAGGAGCTCTCTGTTTGGCCAGCTGAGCACAGAGGAGAAGAAGGTACATCCATACCCTACCCTCCTCTGTGATGAATGAAACCGGAAGCAACAAGAATTTTGTCACTTTTGGTTTGTTTTTTATAAGCCGTTACCAGCTTGCAAAGCATCTGATCAAACCGATCTTAGTTTCATCAGATGCTTTTAACCACCTCCCGCCCGCCATATAGTCCAATGACGGGCACAAGGTGGTTCTCTTGTTCTGGGAGGACGTCATATGACGTCCTCCCATTCTCACCGCACACATCAGGGAGCGCGCAACGCCAATTTACGGAAGGAGCCGAACATGTCTGATCAGTCATGTGATCAGCTGTGTCCAATCACAGCTGATCACATGTAAACATTGAAATGCCGGTTATCGGCATTTCTCTCCTCTCAAGCTGTCACGCTGACAGCTCAAAAGGAGAGGAGAGCCGGTAATCGGCATTCTGCGGAGGGGACATGTACACTGATCATCAGGGCACTGATGATCAGTGTGCCCTGATGATCAGTGTGGCCCCAGAAGTGCCACCTGTCAGTGTCCATCAGTGCCAGCTGCCAGTGCTGAAGAGTGCCACGTGCCAGTGCCACATCAATGCCACATATCAGTGCCTACAAGTGCACATCAATGCCACATATCAGTGCCCACCTGAGCTGCCTTTCAGTGTCACCCATCAGTGCCACCTATCAGTGCTGCCAATCAGTGCCGCCTATCAGTGTGCATCAGTGCCGCCTATCAGTGTGCATCGGTGCCTCCTATCAGTTCCCGTCAGTGCCGCCTAACAGTGCCAGTCAGTGCCGCCTAATAGTGCCAGTCAGTGCCGCCTAACAGTGCCAGTCAGTGCCGCCTAACAGTGCCATATATCAATGCTGCCTGTCAATGCCCATCAGTGCCACCTACCAGTGCCTCCTCATCAGTGCCCATCAGTGCCACCTATCAGTGTCCATCAGTGCAGCCTATCAATGCCCATCACTGCAGCCTCATTAGCGCACATCAGTGAAGGAGAAAAATCACTTATTTACAAAATTTTACAACAAAAACTAAGAAACTTTTTTTGTTTTCAAAATTTTCAGCGGTTTTTGGTTTGTTTAGGAAAAAATAAAAAACACAGAGGTGATTAAATACCACCAATATAAAGCTCTGTCACAAAAAAAAAATGATAAAAATTTCATATGGGTACAGTGTTGCATGACCGCGCAATTGTCATTCAAAGTGTGACAGCGCTGAGAGCTGGAAATTGGCCTGGGCAGGAAGGGGGTATAAGTGCCCTGTAGGCAAGCGGTTAAAGGCAGGGGAAAGATCTGGGGTCTATTAAACCCCAGATATCCCCATAAAGAGTACTTTTCACTGCCCATGCTGTCACAAGGGATGTTGTTCATCCCCTGTAATAGCAATAAAGTTGAATAAAAAAAAAGAAGAAAGTAAAGAGACAGTGTAAAAAAAAATACATTTTAAAACAATTTTTTAAAAGGGTCTCCCGTACTCACATGCAAATGTAAATGGTCCTGTAAACTGTGATTGCACCACACATGTGAGCTATCATTGAGAATGTCACAGTGAGAGCAATAATTATAGCACCAGACCTCCTGTTTAATTTTAAACTGGTAACCTGTAAGTGCTTTTAACGTACGTTTTAATGTACCATAGTTTGCCACCATTCCATGTGTATGTGCAAGTTTAAAGCATGACATGTTGGGTATCTATTTACTCAGTAGAACATCATCTATTATATTTTAAATGGGGAATTTTATTGTGTTTGTACGCACTAAGATTAATTAAAGTGTATTTTTTCCTGAAGATTTGCGTTTGATAAACCAGTGCACAAATATTGTGAGACATACAAAATTGTGACAAGCACCATTTTATTCTCCAGGGCATTTGATTTCAGAAAATATGTAATGTTTGCTGGTTCTAAGTAATTTTCTAGTAAAAAAAAAATGCAGATTTTTATATGTATGTGAGAAATTTCAGAATTGTTCTGGTAGGAAAGTGGTTAACTAGTGTTCAGACTGATTTCTACATAAAGAAAGAACGCCATCTTTTTTGCTGGACTAAAGCTAAAGTGAGTGAAGGGTCGTATCACAACAACTTCAGTTGCCCTCCATGCTACCACTGTCCAAATGTGTACCACTCAGTGACACCTTACTGGGCTATAGACAAAATGAAAATGCAATCAGATGTGAAAGCAGTGTGCCAGATATTGAGATGCTTACCCCTCTCTGTAAGGGAAGATGTTTGCCAAGAACCTAAAGCTTTTGTAAAGTTAACTTTTTTTTCTTTTAAAAATAAAAAACATGATATGCTTTCCTGCTCTGTGCAATGGTGCTGCACAAAGCAGACCCTGATCCTCTTCTTTCAGGTTCCTCGCCGACACCCCTGGCCCCTCCTCCTCTCTGTGTACCACCATAGGAATTGACTTCTTATTATGGCACACCTCCTGAATGTCCGCTTTTTTATTTTTCAATCTCAAGGAGGATTTTGTAGTAAAAAAAAAAAACGCATACCATCTACACTCCTATCCCTGTACACACCATCATCAAGTCTGCACTCTTCTACTGCGTATACTTCCTATCTTCAAAAATTCCTACACTGTCTTCTGCATATGCTAGATGCTGTAATACAATCTGCATTCCTGTATACACCGGCCACCGTTGCACCCTCCTGTACTGCACATAGCCACTGTCACACATTCCATGTTCATTTCCTGCACATACTATCATACACTCCACACTCCTTTAATACACATACCATCATACCCTCTAGACTCCTCTTCTGCACATAACACCCACCATCATACACTACACACTCCCCTCCCTACACATACTACCCAATGTCAATATGTCCACACTCCACTCCCTGCCCATGCAAACCACCATCATACCCTCCGCACTCCTCTCCTGCACATACAAACCACCATCATACCCTCCGCACTCCTCTCCTGCACATACAAACCACCATCATACACTGTGCACATCTCTCCTACACATACTAACTGCTGCCATACATTCCACATTTCTCTCTTGTATATACTGCTTGCCATCAAACACATTCTGTACTCTTCTCCTGCATATACTCAAAACTGTTACACATTCCTCTACTGCATATGCTACCCACTGTCATACTCTCATATAATCCACATTCCTCCCCTGCATATACTGGCCATGTTACATCCTCCTTGCTCCTTTACTGCACATACTACCCACTGTCATACCCTCATACACATCACACTCATTTCCTACACATACTGTCATACACTCCCCACTCCTTTCATACGCATAGCATCACAGTCCACAGTCCTTTCCTGCACTTACCCCCACTATCATATACATCACATATCTCTCCTGCACAAACTATTCACAATCATATACTTCACACTCCTCTCCTGCTAATACTGCCCACTCTTACATTCTTCTCCTTCCTCTCCTGTATATACTACTGTTGCGCTACCCCCGCAGAAGCCACTGGTTGTATTGGGTCCTCTGTTCTTACCCTGACCTCTACAAATACCACTGTGCCTCTGACACCTCGGGTATACTCATCAATAGGCACCGGTTGATAACTTTTGGCTAGTGCCTCAGGGTCACCCTGCAATGAGACTCGAGACCATGGAGTATGATAACAAGATGTATTGAGAATATGAATACTCAAAAATGACAAAAGATCACAAAGCAGAACACTTGTTGACAGTTTCAAATATCAACCAATGTAATAGGAGTGCCTCCCTAGATTCTGATAAGGCTCCATAAAATGTATATTTCCCCACTCGAAATGAGCAACTTAAGGTGATGGTGAATTTGGTATCAATAGATTGACAAAGTTGCTTAGAGTCTATTATGGTGAGGAGGTTAGGGCCTAGGCTATAATGCAATAACTGCAAGGTAACTGTAAACTTTCCACTAGGCAGGATAACAGGTACTCTTATACAGTCCTAAAAGTAAGTCTTTGGCCGGCCACGTTGGAGCTCTTGAAGTCTGCACTAGATGGAATAATTTCTGCAACATGGAACCGGTTGTAGAACATTGGTTCCCTAAGAGAACTGAGTGGCAAAGTGTCCAGCAAGGGGTTAATTATCAAGGGTGTAATAGTAGATATCTCTCAGATGTTCAGAGAAATAGTTCTGAGCAGCAGGACTGTTGCAGAAAGTATGTAGATGATAGAGGGGCAGAAAGTTTATAGATGATAATGGGTGTCTTTAACCACTTGCCTACTGGGCACTTTTACCTCCTTTCTGCCAGGGCCAATTTTCAGCTTTCAGAGCTGTTGCACTTTGAATGACAATTGTGCAATCATGCAACATTGTATCCATATGAAATTTTTTTTCACACAAATAGAGCTTTCTTTTGGTGGTATTTAATCACCACTGGGTTTTTTATTGTTTGCACTATATACTAAAAAAAAGACCAAACATTTTGAAAAAAAAAGTTTTTCTTCCTATTTTAAAATTTTGCAAACAGGTAATTTTTCTCCTTAACTGATGTGTGTTGATGAGGCTCCACTGATATGCGGCACTGATAGGTGGCAATGATGGACACTTGTAGGTGGCACTGATGGGCACTAGTAAGCAGCACTGAAGGGCACTGACTCTTGATTGTCATGACAAGTACCTTACATTTTTTCTAAAGTGCTTTCAATCTGCAGGATTGAAAGTTTATCTGATTGTTGTTTTAGTCTGTATTGCTCAATATTGAGGAAAAAGACTCCTTTGCATTTTAGGGCTCATGTACACTGCAGCTGATAAACTCACGTTTAGGAGCTGTTCAGCTTTTTTTTCAGCAGCCCATGAACTCACCCTAATGTTTTCCTATGTGTCCATATACACATCTTTGTTTACAGTCGTTTTTTTTGAACGCAGAAAACTTGTGTTCAGCAGTCGATTTTATCAGTGTTTCAAACACAAAATGCTTGTAAACGCAGCTAAACGTGGCAAATCGTGTTTATAAGCGTTTCCAATGCTGTCCAGAGCCTTATTCCATCATGAAAAAAATGTATAGTTTTCCTGCAAAATGTCTTGATAAACTCTGGAATTCATTTTCCCATCAATGACAACAATCCGTCCACGCCCTGAGGCAGCAAAGCAGCCCCAAACCATGATGCTCCCTCCGCCATGTTTTACAGTGGGGATGAGGTTTTGATGTTGGTGTGCTGTGCCTTTTTTTCTCCACACATAGTGTTGTGTGTTCTTCCCAAACAACTCAATCTTGGTTTCATCTGTCCACAGTATATTTTGCCAGTAGTGCTGTGGAACATCCAGGTGCTTTTTGCAAACTTCAAATGTGCTGCAATATTCTTTTTGGACAGCAATGGCTTCCTCGGTGATGTCCTCCCATGTACTCCATTCTTGTTTAATGTTTTCCTTATTGTAGATGTGCCAACAAAAATGTTAGCATGTGCCAGAGATTTCTGTAGGTCTTTAGCTGACACACTGGGATTCTTCTTTACCTTATGCAGCATTCTGCGCTGTGCTCTTGCAGTCATTTTTACAGGACGACCACGCCTAGGGAGAGTAGCAACAGTGCTAAACTTTCTCTATTTGTAGACAGTCTGTCTTACCGTGGACACATGCACATCAAGGCTTTTGGAGATACTTTTGTAACCCTTTCCAGCTTCATGCAAGTCAACAATTCTTGTTCGTAGGTCTTCTGAGAGCTCTTTTCTGCGAGGCATGGTTCACATCAGACAGCGCTTCTTGAAACCAGTAAACCCAAAACAGGTGTGTGTTTTTTAAAGGCAGGACAGCTGTCAGCAACACATCCAATATCATCACAGTGATTGGAGTCAAGGTTTTTGGCTCACTCCTGGCTCCAATTAGCTCTGGGAGAAGTCATTAAGCTAGGGCCTCACATACTTTTTCCTCCCTGCACTGTGAATGTTTACATGTTATGTGCAATTAATCCATGGCAACATCTAATGTTTGTGTAGTATTATGTTCAGCAGACTGTGTTCTTCTATTGTTGTGACTTAGATGACGTTCAGAGCACATTTTATGCCCAATTCATGCAAAACTCCACGTAATCCCAAGGGGTTCACATACTTT